ATATTTATCAAGTGCCTGCTACTGCCAGGCATTGCTTTAAGCGCTGAGGATACCTTTTTTTTCTTTTTTTTTTTCCTTTTTGAGACTGAGTTTCACTTTTTTTGCCCAGGCTGGAGTACAATGGCATGATATTGGTTCACTGCAATCTTTGTCTCCCTGTTTCAAGCAATTCTTCTGTCTCAAGTCTCCCAAGTAGCTGGGCTTACAGGCATGCACCATCACCCCTGGCTAATTTTGTACTTTTAGTAGAGATGGGATTTCACCATGTTTGGCCAGGCTGGTCTCAAACTCCTGATCTCAAGTGATCCACCCACCTTGGCCTCCCAAAGTGCTGTGATTACAGGCCACTGTGCCTGGCTGAGGATATAACTCTTCACTGTACTGATTATGAGCCACTGTGCCTGGCTAAGGACACTTGACCGTACTATCTGGCAGGTTATATTGGTTGGTAGGAATTGAAGTGTTATTACAGGATAAAGCATGTATGTGCAGAAGTGGACGCAATTCTAAGTAGGACTGGGAGTGAAGAGCTCTCTGAGGAGGTGACAGCTGAGGGGGGCCTGAATGAATTATGGCAATGTGGCAAACAGATACTTAGAAGATTCTTCCAGGCAGAGGAACAGCAAGAATGTCAGCCCTGAGACAGAAATGCTCTTCAGAGCAACAAGAAGGCAATGTGGCACATGGTTAAACGCGGGGAAGAATACTAGACATTCTCTTCTGTAACAAATGAGGTTGGAGAGAGAACAGGCCAGGTGATGGCAGGTCATGGTAAGGATGTCTCGGGAAGCCTCAGAGGGCTGAGAGGAAGAGAGTGGCATCCTGACTGCAGGGCCCTGGTAGAGCTCATTCTCTCTGCTGTGTGGAGAGCAGGAGGGAGGTGATCAGGTGTGGAAGGCAGGAGGCCAGCAAAGAGGCTCTGACCATCACCCAGACTGGGCCAAAATGGGTCGGGGGAGGGACGGTGAGGTCAGTCAAGGTTCTTTTTGGCTCAAGTCACTGGGTAAAGAGCGGTGCCACTTTTACAGATGGGGAATGACCTAGGGAGAGCAGGTTGGGTGGGCAAGGGGTGGAGTGAAGAGGAGCCAAGGGTTCGGTTTTGGATGAGAAGTTTGAGATGCCTCTGCCATATCCACAGGAAGATACGAAGCAGGCATCTGGAGGTGCAAGTGTGGTTAGAGAAGGTGGGGCAGCCACATGAACTTGGGAATAGATGGCACACAACTCAGAAAGAAAATGCGTTTTTTTTTTTTTTTTTTTTTTTTGAGATGAAGTCTTGCTCTGTCCCCAGGCTGGAGTGCAATGGCGCAATCTCGGCTCACTGCAACCTCCACCTTCCCAGTTCAAGCAATTCTCCTGCCTCAGCCTCCCAAGTAGCTGGAATTACAGGTGCCTGCCAACACACCTGGCTAATTTTGTATCTTTAGTAGAGATGGGGTTTCACCATGTTGGCCAGGCTGGTCTTGAACTACTGACCTCATGATCCACCCGCCTCGTCCTCCCAAAGTGCTGTGATTACAGGCATAAGCCACTGAGCTTGGCCAGAAAATGCCTCTTCTAACTCTGGTTTTGTTTCCTACCTGCTCTGCGGGGCATGAGCTCGGGCCCTCTTGGGCAGATGAGCATCCATGGGGGCCGGGTGCCACCTCAGAACTGGGACACCACCAAAGGCTACAGCTCAGGAGCTGAGGTATCACGTGTGCTTTCTGCCCTGGTGGGCAGAGCGAGAAGGAGAAGTCCACGTGCACCCTCTGCCTCAGGCTGCCCAGGTCTACAATGACAGTAAAATCATCCAACACTTGGTCGCCTTTCAAGAAGAGGGATAAACTACTGCACAGGACAGTGAATAGAGTTGTCAGCACCTGGAAGAATCACATAACCAGATCTCAGGTGCAGGCAAATTTCCGTGTTTAGATGCTCAAGTCATTGAGGGCAAGCAGTCTTTTGAATCACCCTGTGTGGAATTTGGTGCAGGGCTCGGTCAGTTACTGCTGCTGACTTACTGCCTATTCTCCAAGTATGAAGACCTCAGTCACTAAGCGGAAGCTGACATAGACTTGCTGGATAGTTGAGAATGCTTCTTAAGGTAAGGCCTCTGGACTTTGCCCTTCTCCTTTCAGCTCTCCGCGGCCTTAAAGAGATCCTTCTAGAAGATCATGCCATTTCCTTTCCTAAACCCTTCCAAGGATGCCCCCATGGCTTTGGGATAAAGTCTGAGGTCCTTAGCATGGCTCTCAATATTTCACATGACCTGTCTCTTGTCTCGTCCATGGCTGCCTTTTAAAAGACACATCCCAGGCTCCAGGTATTATTTACTATTTCCCTAATAGGCCGATTTGGTTTGCCTGTGTCCCCACCCAACTCCTATCATTCCCACAAGTTGTGGGAGGGACCCAGCAGGAGATAACTGAATCATGGGGGTGCTTTCCCCCATACTGTTCTCGTGGGAGTGAGTAAGTCTCACGAGATCTGATGGTTTTGTTAAGGGTTTCCCCTTTTCCTTGACCCTCGTTCCCTTCTGCCTGCTGCTATGTAAGACTGACCTTTCACCTGCTGCCATGATTGTGAGGCCTCCCCAGCCATGTGGAACTGTGGTTCCATTAAATCTTTTTGTTTTTAAGTTACCCAGTCTTGGGTATGTCTTTATCAGGGGCATGAGAATGGACTAACACGTGGGCTATTAAGGAAATGCTCTTTTGTCTTACTTCTCCTTAGAATGGCCCTTGCTGGCTTGTCCACCCGGAGAACTTTGGCTCATTCCTCAAGCCCCAAGTTCAAGCTCTTCCTCCTCTGAGGAATTCATAGGCCCAGCCACACAAAAGCCTCCCCTGCACCTGCAGCAATTTCTCCACTGCAGCAGTGTTAGCCTGCATGGGCAGTCATTTAGAAAAAGTCCAGCTTTCCCGCCACACTGGGGGGTCCTTTGAGAGAATAATCCAAGTGGTCATCCCTCTTTTCTCTGCATCTAACTTAGGGGCAGGTAAGCAGCAGAACTTAACAGATATTTGCTGGATGAAGTAAATAAATGCGTTAAAACATAAGCACTCAGAACAAAGTCTGTTCCTCTAAGAATAAAGCTTGCAGCTTATGAAAAGTCATTGAGACACAGAAATACCAGAGCGTTATTCTAGGTGAGAAAAGCCAGTCCCCCAAGGCTACATATGATTTCATTTATATAACATTCTTGAAATGCAAAATTGTAGGAACAGAAAACAGATGAGTGATTTCCAAGGGTGAAGGAGGAGGTGGGGTGGGAGGGAAGGGGATGTGGCAATAGAAGGCAACTTGTATAGGGTCTCTGTGGTGATGGAAATATTCCATTATGACTGTTAACGTCAACAGCATCTTTGTGATGCCATACTATGGTTTGGCAAGATGTCAGCACCGGGAAAAACAGTAACAAGACATGGGGTCTCTCTGTGTTATTTCTTACAACTGCATATTAGTTGATAATTATCTCAAAATAAAAAGTTTAGTTACAATTGCCTATTAATTGATAATTACCTTAAAGTTCAAGCGAAGAAAAAATTTCGAGGATGATCCTGACAAAAATCAGCAAAATACGTGCGAGTGCTTGATGACATCACACTGGTCAGAAAAGTGGATTCATTTCAACATTGTCATGAACTCTACTTGCCGGAGTGATCAAGAATGTGTGTCCCTCTCTTATTAGGGGGCTTCCTCTCAGGCTCATACTTGGGTTTCCATGTGCTTTCCAAGTCACCTGGACTTAGCCATGGAGACTAAGATTTATTCTGTCCAGAGGATCCCTGGTGCATGCAATGCATGGCACAGCTTGCTTGCTTTCTTTTTTTTTTTTTTTTTTTTTTTTTGTAAGATGGGTCTTGCTCTATTGCCCAGGCTGGAGTGCAGTGTTATGAACTCAGCTCACTGCAACTTCTGCTTCCCGGTTTCAAGTGATTCTCCTGCCTCAGCCTCCCGAGTAGCTGGGATTACAGATGCCTGCCACCAAGCCTGGCTAATCTTTTGTATTTTTAGTGGAGATGAAGTTTCACCACGTTGGCCAGGCTGGCCTTGAATTACTGACCTCAGGTGATCCACCTGCCTTGGCCTCCCGAGTGGCTGGGACTACAGGTATATGCCATCACACCTGACTAATTTCTTGGATTTTGTAAAGAAAACGTCTCACGATGGTGCCCAGGCTGGTCTTGAACTCCTGAGCTCAAGCCACCTTCCTGCGTTTGCTTCCCAAAGTGTTGGGATTACAGGTGTGAACCTCCACACCTGGCTGAGCTGCCACATCCAGCATGGCACAGTTTCTTACGGGAGTTAGGACAAGTAGATGTCTTGGATGTACCCAGAATGTATCTAAATGACCCCTGGGCCTACAATGAATATACTGAGAACAGGGATAACACAACCCTGCTGACCCTGACCCTGAGTGATCCTAATTCTGTGAGATTGTAGCATACAACCCAACGTGTTTATCTACAGTCAGACTGGATGGCTGGCAACACAACACCTAGAGAACGTCCATGGCCTTGAAACCCATCATTCGCTAGAGTAATTTTTTTTGAGATGGAGTCTCACTCTTGTTGCCCAGGCTGGAGTACAATAGCACAATCTCGGCTCACTGCAACCTCCGCCTCCCAGTTTCAAGCAATTCTCTTGCCTCAGCCTCCTGAGCAGCTGAGATTACAGGCATCTGCCACCACTGCGGGGTAATTTTTAGCATTTTTAGTAGAGATGGGGTTTCACCATGTTGGCCAGGCTGGCCTTGAACTCCTGACTTCAGGTGATCCACCTGCCTCAGCCTCCCAAAGTGCTGGGATTACAGGCATGAGTCACCACACCTGGCCAAGTAATGTTCTTACCTGGACAGAAGCTTTGAAGATGCTGGCCCTTACATCCCGGCTCCTTGAAAGAGAGGCAGTGCACAACACATGTGGTAGTGACAGGGTGCCTGGTTCAAGGGGGATGTGCGTTCTTGCTCATGTCCAGGGTTTCTGACTGGGATCCTGGAATGACCTGTGACTCACCTGAATCAGATGAGCCGCAGTTTCTGGGCTGCCATATCGAAGGTCATGTCCGTTGATGGCTAACACGCGGTCATTCTCCTCGAGCTGACCGTGTCGATCTGCCACACCGCCATTCAGCACGTTGAAGATGAACACCCCAGGCTCATCCACCTTGCGCACCAGTTTGATTCCAAGCTGCTCCTCGGGGCTACTTTTGTTGAGAATCACATGGAAACTGCCATCCCGGGGTCCGTAGCCATCGGGGGCCTGTCCATTGCTCCTGCTGCGGAACTTCTGCTCACGCAGCACGGTCAGCCACAGCACCGGGCAGGGCTGCCGCAGGAGGCGCAGGGCGTAGTTGTGAGGGACGTTGCTGATGTCCATCCCATTGACCTGGGGGCAGGTGGAACAATCGTGTGGTCAGCTCCGCTTGCCACAACCCTTCCTGAAAAGTCCAGACACACAGCACAGCCAGGATCCTGTCTGTAAAGACTGCTCTGCTCTTCCCCCTCATCCTGGGTCCAATAACCGCACGTTCCAACCGCGTTTCTAACCCTGTTCTCTGCCAGTGTGCCTGCTGTACCTCTCCAGGCCTCTGGGAGTAGACGCCATCTTTCTCCACTCGTTCTTACCTGAGCCCACATACTTATTCACAGAATCCTGACCTTCATTCCTGTTGTCATTATTTTGTGGCCAGCAGAAAGAGAGGGAAGGAAGATAAGGTAGGAAAAAAGGCAAAAGAAAAGCATTTTTCACATTCATCTCATTCAAATGATTGCATTAAATGGCTGTTTAAGCCGAGATGACATTATCTTCGCAAAAATCTCTAACTGAAGTTTTCTTCCTGGGTCAACGCATACCAGAACTTCCAGTCCACACCACTGCATGTGCGCGTAGATGGGGCAGGGTGCGAGTGAGGGTCTGCGAGCACGTGAGCATGACGGAGCGTATGTGCATGTGATACTGTGTGTGTATGCATGGGAACGTGTCGGGTTTCAGGGTGATCCTCTGCAAGGTTTTTCGCCTGTGTTCTCAGCAAAAGGAAGAAATCCTCGCACAGTTTGAAACAAACTAATATGAAAGGAAGTTTCTAGGCTCTTTTACTGAAAGGTTAGATCAGGAGCCTGAGGCAGGAGAATCACTTGAACCCGGGATGCAGAGGTTGCAGTGAGCCGAGATCCTGCCATTGCACTCCAGCCTGGGCAACAAGAGCAAAACTCTGGTTCAAAAAAAGAAAGGCTAGATCTCTTTATAAAGCTCCTTAAACAAGCTTAAGCTCAGCCCTCTCATTTGTGCCTCATAATGACGTGTAGGGCTGATACTGCATGGGGCTTTCTGGTTTTAATTTCCCTGGCTACACAGGCCCAGCCTGGAGGCTGCAGACCCCGCTGTTAGTCATCACCCTGGAAGAAAACAATTTCACAGCAAGCGCTGCACTCTGTGCTTGACGAAGGAGGCCCCATGGAGGAGAAATAACTTTCCTGAATTTCTGTAGTTTGATAAGGTTTCTCGTATTTGCAGCCAATGGTAAGAGAAGGCTTAGAATGAGCTTTACAAAGGCCTTTCTTGAGGACACAATCTCTAGTGCAGCTCCGGAGGTTCCCTCATGGTAAGGCAAAACTCACCACCCTTGTCCAAGCAGAGGTGAGCAGAGCGCCCGAAGTGGCAGGGCCGGGTTCCCCCATCACCTCCAGGCCCAGAGAAGGTCAGGGAGTCAGGGTTGCCTGCTAAATAGTCCTGGCGGCCCCTTTGCCTGTAAGTGCCAGTTGAAGGCCACAGAATCAAAATGTTTGATTGTGCAACCCTCCCAGGCAGCATAGTTTCCACTAGAACTGGGAGGCAGCTGTGCACAGTGTCGCTGATTGTACTGCTGACTGCTCCAGGGGCCCTGTCTTACGCTCCACCTCGGAGGTCAGCGGGCATTTCAGCATTTCTGTGAAAACTGCTTTAGGCTATTTCTCCTCTTATTCCAATCAGTTTGCCAAAGAAACAGCACACAGTGTGACAGAAGCCAGTCCCTCAGCAACCCAGAAGGGACAGGATGGGATAGAACTGTTATCCGAGTATCAGCTTGAAAATATATGAGCAGGGAGGGGTTTCTTGTCACTTTTGGCAAACACTGGACTTCTGTCTGATAAACAGCTCTTTATCCTTTCTGTTCTGGAAATTCCTCCTTAAAGTCCTTCCCCTTAACCAAGCCTCAGAGAACAGTACACCCAAAGCCTTCTATTCCAACACCCGTCTCCCCTGGAATGTCTCTGGGTTGGTGGAACTAGCACAGAGATTACTTTTATTTTCACAGAGGGCCATAAGACTACAGGAAATTGACTTTCAAAGAGGTGATTGTGATTAGATAAAATACAACATGTTCTATTAATCTGCTCTAACAACAATTTAAGAAGATATATATCCCAGTTTTATTTTATATTAATATTCTTTAAAAAAAAAAGAGATAAAAGAAAGAGGAGGTAGAGAAAGGCAATGATGAGAAAATGGGAAAAGCTAGAAGGTAGAAAGAAGAGGCGAGAAGATACAGACACAGTGATATAGAGACAGAAGTATTTATATATAGAAAGAAACAGGGAGAGAGTACAAGAGCAAGACAGAGAGGAACAAAGATCTCAATTATATGACAAATCTCAGAGAGTCATAAAACAGTGGAAGGTAATTGTCCACATTTATTTGACTATTTTCCCTCATTCGTCCATCCACCTATCCAGTTATTTGCTCAGAAGCATGTTTTATATCAAGTCCCTCACTGCAGCCCCACAGCCACAGTCTCTACCTTTAGAATGATGTCTCCGGGCAGTAGCCGGCCGTCTCTGGCAATCACCCCATCACGATAAATGTGTTGGATAATGATATGGACCAGTGGGGTTTCACTACCTCCCACCAGCCTAATGGAGAGGCTTTCACTGGGATCCACACGATTGATCTTGATGCTGGTAATTTCGCCATCTGGAATCAGGTGGTACAACCGTGGAAAGACTGAAATGGACAAAGAGGGTTTATTTCAGACACCCACCCAATGGACCTTTCCAACTACTCTTCTTCTTGCCAAACTTCGGTTTCAGCCAAACTAAACTATTCGTTGTTCCTCATACATGTTTTCCATTTTCCTGCCTCTGTGCCAATGTAAGTTTCTCTGCTTGGAATGTTTTTCATCCCGAGCAATTTTTCCTTCAAGGCCCTTCCAATTAAACTCTACCCTGATTCCTCCTTCCCTTGCTTGAAACGGCCCATTTCCTATAAAGGTTTCTAGCTATTTCTCATGGCACTCAACCCATTATTGTTTTTTTGTTTTGAGATAGGGTCTCACTCTGTTGACCAGGCTGGAGTACAGTGTTTCACTACAACTTCCACTTCCTGAGCTCAAGTGATCCTCCCACCTCAGCCTCCCAAGTTGCTAGGACTACAGGTACATGCCACCACTCCTGACTAATTTTTATATTTTTTTTATAGAGATGGAGTTTTGCAATGCTGCCCAGGCTGGTCTTAAACTCCTGAGCTCAGGTTATCCACCCACCTCAGCCTCCCTAACTGCTGGGATTACAGGTGTGAGTCACTGCGCCCAGCTTATACTCATTTCTTGTATACCTCATATGCCCATAATACCTGAGGGCATAACCTCTGGCTGTTCTGTGGTTCTCTACACATATCTCTGCATGCGGAGGCCTTCAGCTGAAGTTTATTGAATTAATGGAAATGAATGAACGGTTTTTAGTGGAACGAACTGCAGTTTTATCACTTGCTTATTGAGAGGTAAAAAACAGAACCAATTTGCCATTTTGCCCTCTCAGATCATTTTGAAAATTTATTCCTTAAAGACTCTGCTTTTCAGGCTTGGGGAATCATCAGTCCTTTCTACCAGACATTGTTGCCAACAAATGGAAGAGGACTGATTCGTGATCAAGAAGAGGCCAAGGTCTAGTTGGTTGCCTTGAGCGGTTCATCCCTGGTTTGCTGGAAATCACTGAATTCTGAGCAAGGAAATTCAAAGATCACAGGCTGGTGTTTTCAAACTTTCTCTCTTTATATATATATATATATATATATGTATATATATATATATATATATATGTGTGTGTGTGTGTGTATATATATATATATATATATATATATATATATAGAGAGAGAGAGAGAGAGAGAGAGAGAGAGAGAGATATGGAGGCTTGCTCTGTTGCCAGGCTAGAGTGCAGTTGTGCGATCTTGGCTCAATGCAACCTCTGCCTCCCAGGTTCAAACCATTCTACTGCCTCAGCCTCTTGAGTAGTTGGGATTATAGGCATGTGCCACCATGCCCAGCTAATTTTTGTATTTTATTTTAGTAGAGACGGGATTTCACCATGTTGGCCAGGATGGTCTCGATCTCTTGACCTCATGATCCACCCGCCTCAGCCTTCTAAAGTGCTGGGATGACAGGCGTGAACCACTGCACCCGGCCCAAACTATTTTTTTTCTTTTTTTTTTCTTTTTTCTTTTTTTTTTTGAGACGGAGTTTCGCTCTTGTTACCCAGGCTGGAGTGCAATGGCGCGATCTCGGCTCACCGCAACCTCCGCCTCCTGGGCTCAAGCAATTCTCCCGTCTCGGCCTCCTGAGTAGCTGGGATTACAGGCACGCGCCACCATGCCCAGCTAATTTTTTGTATTTTTAGTAGAGACGGGGTTTCACTATGTTGACCAGGATGGTCTCGATCTCTTGACCTCGTGATCCACCCTCCTCGGCCTCCCAAAGTGCTGGGATTACAGGCTTGAGCCACCGCGCCCGGCCCCAAACTATTTTTTAATTGATGAATCTGCTTTTCCCATGATCTCTCTCCTAGCTCTCTTCTCATCTCTCATCCATTGTGATCACACAGAAAACAGCTGCTCTAATTGTCCTGCTGCTTGACAGTGAGAGTCAAACTCTACAAGTGAGGAAGTTTAAGGCTGAGAGAAGGGGAGACAAGTAACTGGCTGGACATCCCAAAGTTAGGTGGCCCTGAGAGCCAGCTCAGAGCCCAGAGCTCCTGAGACTGGGACTCTCTGCCAGGTTTTCCTGGAGCCAGGAGTTCACAGCCAGGCCAGAGCCCACAAGGGATTCTCTCTATGGACCTATGAGCCAGCAGAACTGGCTGGCACTGTTTTTCTTCACTTCAGTTTGAATAGAAGTGTTCAGAGGGGACACCAACAAGTGATGGGAACAAGCCATGCCCAGCTTGGTGGAAAAAGTGGCTCCTCCAAGTGGCTAGAGGCTAAAGTTTGAATGTGAAGGGCTGAGATGCTTCTGTCTTCTGTAGGTGCTGACGGCTGCCTTGCCCTAAGAGTCTCCTTTCGTTACGGCATCTGGAAAGATCTCACACGGCAGGCCTGCTTCTGGATAGTCTGCGCCTTGTGAGCATTTTCAAAACCCGTGATCTTAGTCCATTTTCCCTAATGAATTAGTGAGTACTCAACTCTCTAAGAACAATAAAGACTTAAAGCTATTTCTAAGTATTTGAGAGAAGGGTTAACAACATAGCTTAGTGGCCAGAGGAAACTCGAGATGTTGCAAATGTGTATCTTTAATCTCTATACTGATGGAACTGAAGTCACTGCGTAAGGCAGGAGTCGCTGGCTTCATCAGTAAGTTCCTGGTACTAACAGTACTTGGGTGATTGACTTCAATGAATGTTTAAACTACTTTGGTCATATTAAGTAGGCTATGCCGCAGGCACTTGCTAGAACATGTCTGGTATAACAAGGGAATGGAAAAAAAAATTCATTCTGAGCAAAGAAAGATTTGGAAATAATCACAAAAGTCAATTTTCCCTCCCTCATTCCCCCTCCCTTGTTACCTTCTTTTCCAACAGATACAAAACCACACTACCAAACCTAAACCTCTAGGGAAGGTTTGATTTGATAGCTTGAAAAGACATATCCATTCACACTTGTGAAGGATGTTAGAGCAATAGCCAATGAGATCCTAGTGACCTTAAAGAGAGAAAAAATTTTAAACTGCAAAGTTATGTTGTTTTCTTCCTGGAAAGAAAAGAATTTGCTCAGTATTATGTCCTCACTCAAGGACTAAATGATATAATAATCTTATTAGCTGAGAGTTTATTATAGGCTGACATTGATCTAAGGTATTTGAATGTATTTTTTGTTTAGCCTTCATAATAACCCTATGATATAGATTGTAATAATATGTTTTTTTTTTTTTCTTTTTGAGAGACAGGGTCTCACTCTGTCACCTAGGCTGGTGTGTAGCGGTACGACCTTGGCTCAATGCAGCCTTGACGTCATAGCTTCAGGCGACCTTCCCACCTCAGCCCAAGAAGCTGGGAGTACAGGTGTGTGCCACCATGTCCCACTGCATGCTTGCTTTCTTTTCTTTTCTTTTTTTTTTTGTAGAGATAGTCTCACTATGTTGCCCAGGCTGGTCTCAAACTCCTGGGCTCAAGGGATCCTCTCACCTTGACCCCCAAGTGCTAGGATTACACATGCGAGCCACCACGCCCAGAGTCTGTTCTGTTTCTTTAGATGAAGAAACACTGAAGCTTAGAGCAGTTAAGCAACCCAGCCAGGGCCACACAGTTGATAAACAGTGGCCCAGTCCCTTTACCAACATTAAAAAGATGGATAACTGTAGGTTGCTGGAAATTTTTGGCCATTTTTGAATGGCCATTTTTGAAAGCTTTGTTGCCTCATAATTTCTGTGAAGACATCGATACCAGCCTAGCTAAGTCTTAACACCTCACTCCATTCTGGAGTTACAGTTTCATGGTGTGTCTGAGGAAATCCAGTCTGTCCCATTCCAGCCCCACTACACATGGAACATGGCTGCTATCTTTGTCTTCTGGGAACATGGCTCCAATCCTCTACACAATGACTCTACACAAGGGCTCCCAGGTGTGTTCACTGCCCCCAAATCAAGTACAGACTCCTAAATAATAATCAGGACACACTATGATCTGACCTTCATGTCATCTCCTGTATTGGTCTGGAAAGAAAATGATGTGTTCTATATTATTTCCTCACTCAAGGACTAAAGAATATAATAATTATTAACTGAGAGTTTATCATACACTGGCATTGAGCTGAGCTACTTGAATGCATTTTCCAACACACAGTCAGCATCCCAATATCCATCCAAGTCATAAGCCACTTCTTAAACATGGATTACACTGTCCCCTATGGCCGCTGTGGTCATTAATGTACACTTCATTCTTCACAGTACACCATACCTCAGAGATATTGTGGGTTTGCTTCCAGACTGCTATAAGAAAGTGAGTCACATCAATTTTTTGGTTTCTCTGTGCTTATAAGAGTTATGTTTAGACTTTATTGTAGTCCAGTAAGTGTACAACAGGTTTTTAAAAATGTACATACCTTGATTTAAAAATACTTTATTGCTAAAACATGCTGCTTAGTGATCATCTGAGCCTTCAGCTAGTCGTAGCCTTTTTGCTGGTAGAGGGTCTTGCCTTGATGTTGATGGCTGCTGACTGATCACAGTGGTGGTTGCTGAAGGTTGGGAGTGGCTTTGGCAATTTTTAAGAATAAGACAAAAATGAAGTTTGCCACATCAACTGACACTCATGAAAGAGTTTTATGCACATTCTCTGTAGAATGCAGCGCTGATGATAGCATTTACCTTTCAGTAGAACTTCTTTCAAAATTGGAGTCAATCCTCTACTAACCTTGCTGCTGTTTTATCATCTATGTTTATGTAATGTTCTCAATCCTTTGTTGTTTCAACAACATTCACGGCATCTTCAGCAGGAGTAGTTTCCATCTCAAGAAACCACTTTCTTTGCTCATCCATAAGAGGCAATTCTACATTTGTTCAAGTTTTATTATGAGATTGCAACAATTTGGTCATATCTTTAAGCTCCACTTCTAATTCTAGTTCTCTTGATTTTTCCACCACATGTATGGTTACTTTTCTCCACTCAAGTCCTGAACCCCTCAAAGTCATCCATGAGAATTAGAATCATCTTCCTCCAAACTCCTGTTAAGGTTGATATTTTTGACCTCCTCCCATGTATCACGAATATTATCAGTGGTATCTAGAAGGGTGAATTCTTTCCAGCAGGTTTTCAATTTTCCTTGCTCAGATCCATCAGAGGAACCTATCTATGGCAGCTATAGCCTTTCAAAATCTATTTCTTAAATAATGAGACTTAAAAGTAGAAATTACTCTTTGATCCATGGTCTGAAGAATGAATATTGTGTTAGCAGACATGAAAACAACATTCCTCTTGTACATCTGCATTGAAGTACTTGGGTAACTAGGGTGCATTATCAATGAGCAGTAATATTTTGAAAGGAATCTTTCTTTCTGAGCAGTAGGCCTCAACAGTGGGCTTAAAATATTCAGTAAACCATGTTGTAAACAGAGGTGCTGCCATCCAGGCTTTGTTTTTCCATGGATAGAGCACAGGCAGAGTAGGTTTAGCACAACTCTTAAGGGCCCCAGGATTTTTGAAATGATAAATGGGCACTGGACTCCACTTTAAAGTCACCAGCTGCATTGGCACCGAACAAGAGAGCCAGCCTGTCCTTGGAAGCTTTGAAGCCAGGCATTGACTTCTCTCTAGTTAAGCAAGTCCCAGATGGCCTCTTCTCCCAATATAAGGCTGCATCATCTACACTGAAAATCTGTTGGCCAGGCATGGTGAGTCACACCTGTAATCTTAGCATTTGGGGAGGCTGAGGTAGGTGGATCACCTGAGGTCAGGAGTCCAAGACCAGCCTGACCAACATGGCGAAACCCTGTCTCTACTAAAAATACAAAAAAATTAGCCGTGGGTAATGGTGCATGCCTGTAATCCCAGCGTCTTGCTAGGCTGAGGCAGGAGAATCACTTGAACCCAGGAGGCAGAGGTTGCAGTGAGCTGAGATAGCACCACTGCACTCCAATCTGTGCAACACAGTGAGTGAGGCTCCATCTCAAAAAATATATATATATATTTTCTAAAAAAAAATTCTGTTTAGTGATGCCACCTTCAATGATCTTAATAAGATATTCTGGATAACTTGCTGCAGTTTCTACAATCAGCATTTGCTGCTTCATCTTGCACTTTTATGTTATGGAGATGGCTTCTTTCCTTAAACCTCATGAACCAACCTCTGCTAGCTTCCAAATTTTCTCCTGCAGCTTCCTCACCACTCTCCCCCTTCACAGAATTCAAGAGAGTTAGGTCTTTCCTCTGGATGAGGCTTTGGCTTAAGGGAATGTTGTGGCTAGTTTGTTCTTCTATCCAGTTCATTCAAACTTTCTCCCTATCAGCAATAAGGCTGTTCGCTTTGTGAGTAATGTGTTCACTGGAAGTAGCACTTTTAATTTCCTTCAAGAACTTTTCCTTTGCATTAATAACATGGCTGTTTGACACAAGAGGCCTAGCTTTCAGGCTGTCTTAGCTTTCAACATGCCTTCCTTACTAAGGTTCATTTCTAGCTTTGGTTATAGTGACAGACATGTGGCTCTTCCTTTCACGTGAATACTCAGAGGCCATTGTAGGGTTACTAATTGGCTTAATTTCAATACTGTTGTGTCTCAGGTAGGCCCAAGAAGAGAAAGATGGGAAAATGGCCAGGGAAGCAGTCAGAACACGCAATGCTCACTGATCTACAAGGACATGGTTCGGGGCATGCTAAAACAATTACAATAGTAACGCCAAAGCTCACTGATCACATATCACCATAATAGATATAAAAATAATGAAAAAAATCTCGAGATGCTGCAAGAATGACCAAAATGTGACACAGAGACATGAAGTGAGCACACGCTTTTGGAAAAATGATGCCAATAGGACTCGTTCAATACAGGGTTACCACGAACTTTCAATTCGTAAAAATAAAAACGAGGTATGCTTTGATTTTCTTTCAGTCTTGAATAAATTCCTTGATGCCGGAAACTACATTTTATATTCTTTATATAAAATGACAGCACATAGGCCAGTACCTTATATATAATAATCTCTTGTATAAAGGTTTCTGTAATAAATATGAAAATAAGTCTTATTCAAGATAACTTTTTTTTTTTCTTTTGAGATGGAGTTTCCCTCTGTCACCTAGGCCAGAGTGCAGCGGCACGATCTCAGCTAACTGCAGCCTCTGCCTCCCAGGTTCAAGTGATTCTCTCGCCTCAGCCTCCCGAGTATCTGGGATTACAGGTGCCTGCCACCATGCTCTGGCTAATTTTTGTATTTTTAGTAGAGACAGGTTTTCACCATGTTGGCCAGGCTAGTCTCGAACACCTGACCTCAGCTTATACTCCCCCCCTCAGCCTCCCAAAGTGCTGGGATTATAGGAGTGAACCACCACTCCCAGCCCAAGTAGTAGAGAACTTTACATGGAGTCTTTACATGGAATTGAGAAGTCTTTAATAAGAGGAAGAGACTGGTGGAAACGAAGTTATAATCCTTTCATTTAGCCATTGCACAGACACTTAGTGGACACTTATGTGCCAGACACTGTGCTAGGCCTTAAGAACAAAGACTCAGAAAAGGAATCCCTGCACTTTGAGGTATAGTTACATGAAATGTGATCATCGCTGATACAGATACTTTAAAAACACGTAAGAAGGGGGCTGAGGGATTCAGTGTGGTTTCTAGGAGGAGGCGAAGCCTCCACTAAACCTGGAAGCAGGAATGTGAATGTCAGCTGAAAGGAGAGTGGGAGTGCAGGCTGCACAACAGAAGGCAGGTGAGAGAAAGACATACAACTTTACTGGCCTGTAATAAGCCGAGAGCTGTTAGAGCAGCAGCGTGTACGTCCAGGGTGAGAGGCGATCATGAATCAGTATACGAGAAAAGGTCTTATAAGGCTGCTTGTGACTTTTGAGGGCATAATTCATACAGTGGTTTGGGCTCTGCCTCCCAACTCCCAAGAGTAGAGGGCAGTATAACCCAGGGGCTAAAATAGTCTCTGGAACCAGAGGACCCGAGGTAAAATGCTGGTTCTGCCATTTTCTACCTGGCTTCCTGGGCTGGTTACCTAATCCCTCTGGGTGTCCGTTTTCTTGTCTGCAAAATGGGAATGATAGTCCTATCCTCTTAACATTCTTGTCACATCTAAATAGCTTAAAAAAACAATTGAGCTCTTTCTGTATGCACATAGTGTTTTAAGCCATTACTACTACTTTAAAGTTCTAGCCGGGTGCGGTGGCTCAAGCCTGTAATCCCAGCACTTTGGGAGGCCAAGGCGGGTGGATCACGAGGTCGAGAGATCGAGACCATCCTGGTCAACAAGGTGAAACCCCGTCTCTACTAAAAATACAAAAAATTAGCTGGGCATGGTGGTGTGTGCCTGTAATCCCAGCTACTCAGGAGGCTGAGGCAGGAGAATTGCTTGAACCCAGGAGGCGGAGGTTGCGGTGAGCCGAGATCGTGCCATTGCACTCCAGCCTGGGTAACAAGAGTGAAACTCCGTCTCCAAAAAAAAATAAAAAATAAAAAAAATAAAGTTCTAACAGAAAATGAAAAGACAGGAATTTCCTCAGCTCCATTTATATTGGGGAAAACATGGGATCTAAGACTCAGTAGCTTCCTTTGCATGAATTCTACAGCCACGTTACCTAGATTCAAAGCTTAGCAAGGTAATTTGGAACAAACGAAGTAACCTCTCTGTGCCTCAAGTTTCCTCATCTGTAAAACAGCGTAAAATAGTAGCACTGGGCACAGTGGCTCATGCTTGTAATCCCAGCACTTTGAGAGGCTGAGGTGGGTGGATCACCTGAGGTCAGGAGTTTGAGACCAGCCTGGCCAACATGGCAAAACCATCTCTACTAAAAAATGCAAAGATGGCACAAAAGTAGTCATGAAAAAAAAAAAATACAAAGAATAGCTGGGCTTGGTGGCGGGTGCCTGTAATTTCACCTATTTGGGAGGCTGAGGGAGGAGGATCGCTTGAACCCAGGAGGCAGAGATTGCAGTGAGCAGAAATTGAGCCATTATACTCCAGCCTGGGTGACAAAAGCAAAACTCTGTCAAAAAAAAACAAAACAAAACAAAACAAAAAAACAACCAAAAGGACATAAAAGAACAGTAGCTAGCTCCGTAGGGTTGTTGTGAAGCTGAAATGAGGAAATGCATATAAAACACTCAGCACCACACCTCACATGTAGTTGAAAGAGTAAGAAGAGCAAATATATATTGCATTTATCACATGCCAGTCATTGTTTTAAACACTTTTCACTCATTAACTATAATTATTCTTCATATGCATAACACTAGCACCTGAAGGTAAGGGTTTCAATACTTTTTCTTCCATCTATGTAAAAAGATGATAATAATTTCTGTCTTAAGCTGCTTATGTGAGAAGCGGGCTAATCAAAATGAAAAATGTTGTATACTCTTGGGAAGAGAGAGGTCACAGAAGGTGGGCGGTGATCAGATTGCATCATCCCTGAAGTCACCCCAGAAGCCCAGCCCATATCCTTCCAGCCTTGTAAGGAGTTCATTTACCTTCAGGGGCAGTGGTGTTTTCCGAATTTTCCCTGCTCTGGTCAGCGTGGTTGGCAACTGTACTCCCGCTCTTTGTCCTTCGAAGAACACTCAAAGCTCGATTTATTTTTTTAAAAGATCTGCTTCTAATAGAGGATCTTTCAAAAGGCCGTGCTGAGGGAAAGAGAGGAACAGTAGTTATGATTTAATAGAAATCATCATTTACATACATATCTGATAAGATACATACAATAAAACATTAACAGTGACTACCTCTAGGGGGTAGGATTGTAGAATTTGCTTACCTGTATTTTCTAAGTTTTCTACAGTGAAATATGCAGGACTTGTTTAAAATCCTGCTTTTCTTTTTTGTTTCTGGGCTGAACTGAATACAATAGCACTTTTCTTGAGCAGTATGGCTGAGAAATTACTGACACTGCAGGAGCGACGAATCATTAGGTCTCATTTCAGCCCCTTTCACCAAGTCAGATTACACACAGTTTTAATGATCGGAGGTACTTGTGGTTCATTTCACTTTGGAGAATTGGACATTGACTTCCTGCCAAAACTACCAGAACGATTTCCCCTTAAAAAAACATTTCTAGAACTTTCCACAGTAAGTATCCCACAGAGGGCAATCCCAAGCCAAGGAGCCCATTCCTGGACAACCACCCATTTGACTCACCCCTAGTTCGGTTGCTCCGGCCAGAGTCCACTGGGCTGATTGCTGGCTGACTGTCCTCTGCCGTGGACACGTAGGCAGGGTTGTCTAGGCCAGGCTCGTCTGTCATTAAGGGGATGGTGGCAGCTGGAGAAACCTCCGGGAAGGGAGCCGTGGCCGTGAGGCTTGCACAGCCGTCTGGACAGCCATCTTGCGAGCGTCTCTTCCTGTCTTTGGTCAGGCCGTAGTGGGAAGCACCTTTACAGCTGTAACAAAACCAGTGGGGAGGTGAGGTGGAGCTTTGGCTCTGCTGCCACGGCTCGGTCAGACCTCTTCAAATACCATCGATGAATGTAAAATAGGCTTGTTGGATATGGAATCTGATTTGCCTGCCCCTGTCTCCTCTCTTCCCTTTCACAAGTTGGTACTTAACACGCATTTGCCAACCAAGTGAATTCACAATTTGAGATTTTGTAAAAGATGCCCACTGTATTCTCTTAAAGCAATCTCAACATTAGCTACTGGAAGGCAAATGTATTCAAGTCACCGTGGTGTCTACATGACCAGCGCTTGAAGGTTGGCGATGTTCAACTGTTTGGTAATTCCTGCTTGCTGGTGTTTATTTTGACCCTGAAAGCCCTTAGTCACACTCTCACTCCTTTCTTTTGGATTTCATTCCCACAGCACTACATAAATATGAATCTCCTCCCAGATTCCATATTTAACTGTCCACGGAAACACAGTGGCCCTCGCCACAAAGCCACAGGAGTCAGTTCAGCACTGCTCTCCTCTGGCAGCAGCGTGGTGGCTTCCATTCTCTTTCTCTGGGCTGGCCTGGGAGGGCCTCTCTGGCGCTGGGAGCTCCCGTGACCTGAAAAGTGTCATTCATTGCTATGTTGTCTAGCACTAAGAGAGTAAAACAGCTTGTGCGGTTTTTAGCAAAAACATATTTGACTCTACCCATTCACTGTTCATGTTATAAAAAAAAAAAAAAAAAATCCAAAAAACCCCCAAAAAACAAACTTTGTGAGAAAGGCAAGTTATTGGTGCAATAGAGAGAAGTTGAAAAAGAACAATTCTTGAGGTTCGGAAGACCAAGGCTTGAGCTCAGCTACGTCCATATTTTGCCTTGAACATGAACACTGTCACTGGGCAAGTCATTTTGGTGCACAGGCTAGGTTTTGGTCAGGAGACGGTGATTTAACTATCTCACTGCACTGTGGTGGGGGCAGCTACAGGTAGTCGCTTTGGTTCCCATGGTTGTGAAGGCAAAAATCATACCATGAGCCCCTTAAAGAAGTGTCCATTTCCATATGAGGGATGTGTTAATTATAAATTCTTATCGATTCATTAGGCAAAACCCTGTATGATTGAGCTATTTTAAATAACCCTTTGAGATCCTACTTGAGGGATGCTTCATGTTTTTCAAAATAGATGAAATCAAAGGTCAGTCTACACTGCAGACTCTACAGTGATATGCTCACATGATTTGTACTGCCCGTAAAATCAAAGAAATGGCAGGATGGAAGGTCCTACTATCTAGATCCAAATCCTTGCTCTGATATTTACGTAGCTGGGTGACGTGGGGACATTTTATTTACTTGGCTAAACTTCCCAATTTGCATATGCTTTCTGGATTGCTGGAGGTTTGATCAACATTAGGTCTTACCAAGAATGTAGTGCTTTTTGTCAAAAGTACTAGAATGCAAATTCATTAACGTCGTCATGACTACAGACTACAATCAGATCTGATGAGATTGTAGCTATTTCTCAGACATGTCAAAGCATGAAAAGAGCATCTTAGTCTAAGTCCATCTTAGACTATTTACTATTTCATCCATCCAAAGATGCTCTTTTCAGCCTTTAACATGTCTGAGATCAGGATGCATGTGTGATTGATGGGGTTGCATGGTTTCTGTTGCCAGGCAGCAGTCATGATGCAGATGTCACCGTCCCAGCATGGCACACCCTGTGGTATATGCACCTCTTGTCGCTTCCACTGAGTCACCTACATGCTTGGTATTACACCAGCGAGTTTAACTGCCATTTAAATGTTTTAGAAAAGATTACCTCATGATTCAGTACTAGAATGAAAAATTATAGAAAGCCTCAGAAACAGAGCAATTGGATATCGATGAAGCACATATTCACTGTTGGAAGCAGAATCACAATTCCTATTTTCTTGCAAAGGGACAAGCAAATGTTTTATTTGCTTAGAAAGATACCCCTAAGGGGATACAAAGCGGTGTTACATTTTGTTCTTGAGAACACTCCAAAAGGATTGCCTATTTCATGCCAAGCAACACAACCCAGGGCAGGAGCTGCCACCAAATACATTTGAATGGATTTCAAAGCCCCAAGAGTCTGGTGTGACCAAGATACGCCTCATGGGGATATCTCTGGTGTTTGGGGATTATTTAACTGATGGGACATTTTTAAATGTCCTCTTCTTTGCTGGTATATAAAACATGCTATCTCTTATAATCAGTGGCATCTTAGATTAGATGAAATATGATTTTAATACCAGCAGAAAAGGAGTCTGGTTATACAACTCTGTGTCCTCATCTTCTAGATGAGAAAACAGGCTGCTAGTGCTTGTCCTCAGCTGGAGGAGTTCAAACTCCTTGCCTGAATTCGTGAGGTTTTACTGCACTGAATAGCTGCGTTGGCTTGGAAGTGTTTTGCTTAAAATAGCAAAGGGGTTGATCTGGGAAACTCAGATTGGTGAAGCACTGTGTGACGGAAAAAATAAAAGCCAACTTGCACTTTAGCAGCTCCAAAGTCACGAACACATGAATGAAACACTTCCAGGCAGGCCGGCAGTATTTGGTTAGCAGTGCTTGGAAAGGAAGTTCCTAGCTGGTCCGCAAACTGTTTCTGAGGAGGCAGCAGGTGCCCTTGACCATGTGCCCTGCCAGAGTAGGAAGGTTATTTTCCAGCTGGACAAATGGCTGGCAAAGGCACAAACCATGGTTTTATTGGGGGAACACAACATATCCTAATAAAAGAAAGTGACACCTTCCTCTGCTGCCCCATCAATGAAGAGGATTACGGTCTTTTTAAAATATCTGAATCCCAAGATTACGCCATAAAGAAATCATTACACTTTCAGGCCGGGCGCGGTGGCTCAAGCCTGTAATCCCAGCACTTTGGGAGGCCGAGGTGGGTGGATCACAAGGTCAAGAGATCGAGACCATCCTGGTCAACATGGTGAAACCCCGTTTCTACTAAAGATACAAAAAAAAAAAAAAAAAAAAAAAAGAAAAAGAAAAGAAATCATTACACTTTCAAATTCTTGGAGTTCTAAAGATAAGTTTTTGAGTCCAGGAAAGGAAAACTTCATAAGGTAGGTAAGTAGCTTTTCCTTTGGTCTCATATCACAGCTGTTCTTACAAGAGCTGGGGAGGGCGCAGAGAATTGTTTTACATATTCAGACTCATATGCTTTGCGTAATAAAGGTTCTTCTGATACACCTCATACTTGTGTAATGTTAGCTTTCTCCAGCCTCTTGGCTTAGCCTGAGCCCGAGACAGAGTGATCTATGAAGGTAGCAGCTTGGACTTACTAATTATCGTTTTGTGGTGACTGATACTGGTGCAGCCTGATTTACAAGCATGAAAGAGGGAAGAAGTGGTGGAAGAGCTGATAAGCATTGGCCAGGACAGGAACATATGGTGAATCCTGGGTTGTGTTCAAAGCAAGCAGGATTTATGCTTCCCTTCAGTTACTCTGAGCACAAAGTACTCTCAGGTGGTGATGGGCAATGGCCATGAACTTGAAGGATGAACATAAGGAACACAAAAACCACTTTTCGACCAAACCACAAACTTTGGATGTGCTGTCCATTCAAATGAGTAACTCTGAAAAATCAGTTTTCTTGGGAGATCCTGAACTAAAAAGGAGGTAAATCTGTCTTAGAAGAAGAACACTAATACTCAATGCCAGAATTTTTGTCTCTTTTAGGGTTGGAGTGGGGATAAGATGAGAAAATGAATCTCCTTCCTGCAAAACTTCTAAGCCTGAGTTCACTGCTAATGAGAGTTGGAGATGAGACACAGGAGGGACCCCAGACGTAATGCACAGAAGTTCTGATAGGGTATCCTCTGCAGACGTCACCCAATGGGGCAGTATGAGCTGGGTTCCCGTGAAGAGTTCCTTTCTGATGTTGAACTTATCCACTTGGAATAAGAGTTGTTCACAAAGTGAGCCTCAATACTCATCATCATCGTTCAGCTATACAACCTTCCTTTGATCTCTCCAGCTTTCTGTAAATTCTTTCTCTCGGTTCACTTCTGCATTAGCAAACATTGCGTCAACTCTCACTTTGGGTTCATTAATTGCCCAGTACGATCTGACTTCAAACAAGAGCTTGCAAACTCATATGCTCAGCAGGTGAAGAAACAAGGGAAGGAAGGCCATTGGGGACCATGGTGAGCTGTGCTGCTCGACTTAAAAACACAGTGGCTGCCCCACCCTTCCCTGTTAAAAAGGCTGGCCCAGTGTTGCTGGAGTACCTTGGAAGCAAAAATCTAGTTTTCAGTGTAAAACCTCTCAATTTGTTAAATGGTAGCAACACGTTCGAAAATCTTAAAAACACTGTGTGGTCCAAACGAAACACATCTGCAAGCCAGCTCTAGCTCCAGAGATGGCACATTCCAATCTCTGGTAATAAAAAAAACTGCCAATACGAGTAGATGGGACCCATTTTTCTTTTTTCTTTTTTTTTGAAATGGAGTTTCGCTCTTGTTACCCAGGCTGGAGTGCAATGGCGCGATCTCGGCTCACCGCAGCCTCCGTCTCCTGGGTCCAGGCAATTCTCCTGCCTCAGCCTCCTGAGTAGCTGGGATTACAGGCACGCTCCACCATGCCCAGCTAATTTTTTGTATTTTTAGTAGAGACGGGGTTTCACCATGTTGACCAGGATGGTCTCGATTTCTTGACCTCGTGATCCACCTGCCTCGGCCTCCCAAAGTGCTGGGATTACAGGTGTGAGCCACCGCGCCCGGCCGTTTTTCTTTATTCAGTCCTCCAGAAAGCAACATTACCCTCCTGTTCCTCCAATCTTTCTCCCTCCCCACTGTTTGTGTGTATGCATCTGTGTGTATGTATGTCTGTGTATGTGCATGCATGCAGAGGGGAGATGACCCCTAAAGGGGACTTTCCTATAATTATTTGCCCTGGCCCCATTTCTGATCCAAGTCCAAAAATGAGACCAATGTTTCAACTGTATTTCTTTCACTCATGAGAGCACTAATAGCTGGCCCAT